CATTATAAATATAAGTATATTATTCGATTATATCTCATGTGCACTTCCTCAGCGATAACACCTATAATACGTGGTTAAGAGATTATTGTAAGATTCAAACCTTGCGCATGCGTAAAATCAGTGAGCATTCGCTTTTCCGAAATCGTGACTTGTTTTTTTATCATATTGGTGCAAATTTTAAATCGTTGATAATTAATTTTCCAGTTAAACACAGACATATTATAATAATTATCGCTATGTTAAAGATACCCAGCAAAAACTTTTTCAAATTATTCACCTTGGCGGAACCGACGTAACTCCTTCTCTTCTAATAGCAGGGGTGGCGTCAGCGGGAGAGGGGAAGGGCCCCACATCGGGGAGAAAAAAAAACACACAATTTGTCGGGGAGAAAATCCATTAAATAAGCTTTTGAAACCTTTTGAAATTTGTCACATTTTCAATGGTTTCACCCCCTCGATCACTTTGAAATAGTAATGAGTGACACCCGACCACGCCCACTTTGCTCTCGTCGGAGACATCGGCCCACCCGTCGCGGACCTCGGACCCCCACCCCCGTCGGGAAAAACTGGCGCCATCCCTGCCTAATAGATTATTATTATTATTAATTCTCCGAAAACTGTATATAGGCCAAATAAATAATAAACTAAATCACAAATAATGCATTACAATACAAAGTTATATGCCAATGCAAAATAGGCCCTATTAAATGTGTTGCAACATTCTGATGAACTATACAATAAAAACCTTAGCAAATTGAATACAATGACAATTGTGAGTCAACCATTTTGTTTATAATGCTGACACTGTGGTTTAAAAAAATAATATAGTAAAAACTGAATAATACACACGGTCTAAAAATGTATAATGAATTTAAACATTCTCTATTTATTGTATGTATTCCTTTAACTTAGAATGTGAATAACAATGATATAATAATAATAATAAATAATAATAACAAATAATAATAATAATAATAATAATAACATTAACAATAATAATAATAATAATAATAATAATAATAATAATAATATAATAATAATAATAATAATAGTAATAATATTTATATTATTATTAATTTTTAAAAAAACCCACAATATATCAGTCACCGATTTCACGTGCCATTTGCAGTTTTTTGGTCTTTGGTTTTTAGGGTTTTTTGGAATTGATCACTCAGCAATTATGCTGATTTGGGAGACCACTGTTTGTACTAGTGGTGTACAACGCCTATGCACTCTCGTGTGGCAGTCCCCTGGGCACCCGACTTCTAGGGCCCCATGTGGTCCCTACCCATGATCGTCAGTGTAGCACCGGACCTGACACAAGAGAGATTTGTTTATACATAAAGACATTGACTATAGGATCAGGGAACAGGCAGGATAGGCCTATATTATATTATATTAAGTGACAAAGTAAAGAGGAGGAGGAGGCATCCGAGCCGGGTCCCCCTAAATTTTTCAAAATTATTTTTAGATAAAAATAAAATTGTCTATATGAGTGCCATTTCCGGCATCTGCTGAGGTGCCATAATCATAATTTTTCCTACCTCAGCCCCAACCGTGGTGTTGAGGTGGTATACGATACGAGAACAATTTTATTGCAATCTACTTTGTAAATAAATTGAACAATCAAAAAATTAATTATCTAACAATTAAACAGCAAAGCGTTAAACATTAAAATTAAATATAAAAACAATGTCCGTCCGACTATGCAGGGAGTACTTTGCATCCTTTGAAAAACTCGGTATTAATGATAAAGTTTTTTGATCTGTTAATATCACATTTGGGTAGATTAAATTCGGTCCTCTAGTTAAATTTTTTGAAGCATTCCCTGCACAGTCGGGTTCGTCTGTCCTCCAACAGGAATACTTAGAATCAAACGTGTCTCATCATAATTACACAATGGGAGAATGATCTGAAATGCCCTTTCTGTATGTCTTCAACTGATGTAATTTGTTCGCGGGTCAGATTCGTAGCTCACACTGGCTAAGCATATCCAACTGCTGGCCGTAAAATCTGTCTCTTATACACATCTAGATGTGTATAAGAGACAGCAATTTATTGTATTTTATAGGTCTATATTTCAATTATTATTATTATTATTATTATTATTATTATTATTATTATTATTAGGCCTATTAATATACTAATCATTACGAACATTCATGGCATGATGAATGTTGCTTGAAGAATAAAACATTGAATTGAAATATGTGTACGGGCCGGGAACACCCTCCCCCCTCGTCTGCAAATCTTTGCGTCTCGTGTTGATGAACTTTGGTCAGATTAAATCATATTCATCTGCAAAAGTATATAGTCTAGTAGATTTTTATTATAGACTGTAGATGTAATGACATTTTAGTATTTTTTTTTTCTATTTTAACACAAATTAACAAACGAAGACACGATCAGCGTCTTGAGACGGAAGACCAAATACCCAACTACAATATAGGCCTACAAGTAACGACTGGGATTTTATCTAGATCGTATCAACGGATGTTTAAAATAAGCCTGAACGTTGTTCTAAAAATGTCGGTGTACAGAATAATATAAAAAATTATACTTACAATGTATGTGAAAACAAAACAGGGTTTTTTCTCATTGTTATAATGTGATGTTCAAATTGAAGTAAAAAGAGAATAATTAACAAAGTAATAAAGTAAAAAATACATGACAAACAAAAAATCATGCAGATTATGAAGTAAAAGAAAACATGGACACCAACTTAACGTCAGTGAGGATCCAACCAGGGCTGCAATGGGTAGTATCGAGGATGATGTGGAGAGTTCCAACCATCGCACAGAACCCAACCCCACGAAGCTCAGTGCATTTCAGTTCATCTTGCGCAATTTCATAGGTTGAGGGTGAAAATGGTTTATACATATCACGGTAATGTTGCGTTTAGCATAGCTGCCGCTAGTTTGAAAAACTTATGAAAACGCAAAAAATTAATTACCAGATTATTAATATTTCAAATAATGTAAAATTACGTCATTTGTTAATACGCACATTTTTGATATGGTGTTTACTTGGAAAACGTTTGAAGAAGATCCAAGCATGGAAATGAAACTGGCAGACAGAAAACCATGTGCAAAAACATAGGGAAAGGCGATTTTAAGAAAAAAAAAAAATCAGAACAAAATCAATGGCTTTTCCACGGGTGCGCGGGAGAGCCATTAATTATAATTATATGATAAATCGAAATTATAAAACTTCTAGCTCTTTTATTCTACAAGGAATAACAATAAATAACATGCAATGACGCAATGAGCAAGTTTACCGTGAGTTCGTTTGAATAAATGAAAAAATTGGTCAAAGCTAAATTATATCGTATTTCACAAGTCCTTAAAATAGACGATTTTATTCAGCAACAGAGGCTCTATTTATTGACCAATGGCAATCGTTGTAATAGATAAGTACATATGACTGACTTCATTTCAGGAGGAAGACGATTGCTGTTTTTCTTTGCTTGAAGATCGTTATGACAAATTTAAGGTAAGAACAACCTTTTATATTTATTATTGGTAGAGAAATCAAAAATGGTTATGAAACATGAATGATATACACCCCATTTAAACGGTGGATGGTTTATTCGTTGAAAATATCATTTAATCATCAAAAAAAATCTTTGATAGAATTGTATTCCGAGATAGTGTTTTGCTAGTTATACCTTTTTTGTTTAAG